TAACATCAGGGAAGGAAATTAGCTATAATCAAGTCAGAAAGGTGTTCAATAAATAGAATAAATACAAAAATGAAAATAAATTTGTATAACAATGTGTTATGACTTGGAAGAAAATGCTGTGATTCTGAGAAACAAAGGCAATTAGTTTAGTAACCTCTGTAATTACATAAGATTATTTAACGTCGAATATTTACTTAAGATATGAGACATCCAGAAGAAATTAATAGATACAGCTTCCAGGAGATATGAGAAAGATTTATAGCAATTAAGAATAGCTCTGAAGTATTATATGTATAATGTGTGTGTATATGGATGTATATGTATATAAATCTAGCTTATATTTTAGCAAGAATTTATGATGAATTAACTGTTATGTTAATGGGGAATCCCTGTACAACTACGCATTAAGATACGTTTTCAAATTTTAGGCTAAATCCTTGCTGGGCAGGCATAAGGGCAGATGGAAGCTTATGGCTGCTATGTCAATACCTACAGAACATCAATGTCTTCTTACCTAGTCCAAATAGACATTCCATCTGCCATAAACACTAGGCCCAAAAGCCACATTTATAGATTGCACTAAAGAAGTTAAAATTATTTTTAGAGTACAGGAATTTTTATAGGTTCTGGGAAAAGGGAACTCAATGTGTGTTTCAAAATACTTATTTTCTCATGATTATGAATGCATTTCCATGTATGCATGCATAGGGAAATAAAATAGCCCTAATAGCATATTTTTATGGATGTTTGCACTAAATTAACTATTGTGCTATTATTGTTTCACTGGGGGTGAGATCTAGCTGTTTGTTTAGCTTCTACATCTTCAGTCTTCCCTCTGCTATGATGATTGGTTTTATGTCTTTTTCTTTAAATCACTTGATGGATTCCTTTTCCAAATGGGAGATATAGGGCACATTTTTGCCAGCCTGCCAGAAGTTAAACAAAAAAAAGTAAAACAAATATAGCTGAGTATGTATTTTTAATTTGTTTCCTTTCAAAATAAGATTTTCAGTGTCTAAAAATGGTGAGAAAAGCTGCATCTTGGTTTCAGGAGCTGATAAAAATTTGAGGTATTGGCTAATAACTAACTGCTCTGAATCCTACTTTAATGCCTCTAGCCCCTAAGCCTTTAGAAGAGAGTAGGCACCATTGCCCTGTGCACCTGCCGTCTGAGGGAAAGCCATTGCTATACATACCATGTAGCTAACATCTATCTGTATAACAGAACATCACGGAAGAAAACCTCTTTGGGATTAGCATATGAAAATGGATATGTAGGAGTCATAGATCTTTGCTCAGATTTCCTGAGCAAAATTTTCTAATTTCATGGTAGTGAAAAGTACCAGGAAAATTCATTGATTTTGAGTTTTATGAAAAGACAGATAAAGGGAGAGGAAAAGAATAAATGAAGAGGATTTCTGGAGGTCCCTGGATTAAAAAAAGGCGCCAAATACAGATGATGTTCTTGGAGAAGCATGAAGGAATCCTCTAGATGATTAAGAAAAGTGACTCTTGTCTTTCTCTACACCTAAATTTAATGTGTTGCTCATTGATTATTGGCAGGTTTGGTTGTAAGTAGTAATCCATTTGAATTAATTTGAAAGCCTCAAATAGCACATAATAAGTTGGATGGGGAATAATTTTAAATATGGGTACCATATAAATGTTGTTCATAAGTATTTCCACTGTACTCAGTATGAGATGGTGTCCAGAGGAGACAAGGAAACTGCCTGGCCAGACAAGTCAGCTGAATCAGTTTGAGAGGATTAAGTGAGTGGAAAAAAGTTGCCAGACCTAGGACAAGTTCTGTAGTAGACACATTGATTCACCTTCTAACCTACCATGTTCTCAAAGAAAATTTGTCCAAATCTGCTTGAACAAACAGCCTAGGTATCAAATGACCTCAACCAGCCTGACAAGCTATTTGGTGTGGATCTGTGATCACACTTAAAAGATCTCAAGGAGATAATCTCTTCTAAAAATGTGGAATTAGGTTACCAAAAATAAAGAAAACGAACAAACAAGTCTTTCTGTAACAGTGTACCCTCAACTATAAATAGTCTTGCTGACACAGCAAAAGCGAGAGCCATGGTCATCCAATGCCATGTACAAGCTACAGTTCTGGGGATCTTTAGTGAAAATCTAACTGCAAAGAGGTGGGAGACGGAAAAAGAAAATAGAATAGTAAAGAGCCTAGACATGTTACTCCATGAGACAGACAAGATAACATGACTCTGTGAGACCTAGAAGATAATGGGACTCCATGAGACAGAGAAGATATAGCTTTCTACTAGCCTTACGGAAGCATTGCTGTACTTTATTCTCTGCTTTGGAATTAAATGTTTCCTTATAATAGCACCCTTTTATAAGCATTTAAAATATCTATTTTGGACACAAATATGCCACATCTATAACACATGCACATCCTTCTCTAAATGCTTTTCGCGCACATAGTCTACACCACACTGTGTGTGTACAAATTCCTACAATCTGGATTTTCATGTCTGTTCACATTGGTTTTGAGGTTTTTTTTAAGAGAAGGAATTATACCTTCTATATTTGCACATATGCTACAGACACTAGCATGCTTCCTGGCAAATCATTGCCATAAGAAACAGATTCATTTGACCACTGACTCCTTGTTAAACTCTTTTTAGTCAATGATGGTTGTTAACCATGTGGAAGATATACCAGCAAAAAAGTTCTATCAGTTTCAATTTATTCGAAAAGATAAACTATACTTGGGACTGAATGAATTTGGAAGACCTGTTAGCTAGTACTAATTATTCCATGCCATCAGCATGTTTAGACATACATATAACAAACAAGAATTTCATTAAGCAAGAACCCATGTGTTACTTGGAGAAGCAGCAAAGAAAGAAGCTGACTTGATGAATTCTAATCTTAGGAATGAAATACTTAATTGAAGGAAATCTAACGATACAGATAAATTCACTTCGGAAGTTTTCTGAAAGTTTTTTTTAACTTGGCCATACTTATTTCTTTTGCATTGTTTACTTCATAGAAATTAAAGGGAAATTCTTAAAAAAAGTGTCTACATGCTTTTTTCCCTTGAATTGTATAAGCCTAATAAGTATGTTTGAAATGTATAAGATTTCATTTTCAAACTCATCAGTAATTGATTCATGTGCTTCAAAATATAAAGAAAAATCTATATTATATATACTGATGAAAAATATGTATTCAAGTTTTAAATCATTAAAACCCAAATGCCCATGTTTGCATATACAGCATTGAGCATTTTTTACGCTGCCATCATAGGAACAACAGTCTGAAAAAAAGCCAGAAGCAGTGGCTCAACTATGGGTAAAAACGACTTCATGTCACAGAAGGCCAGATGTTGAGAGAATTTATTAGATTTCCCAAAATACAGTCTATTGTAAACATCCATATATACAAAAGATTTTACACTTTACATTCCTTATGTAATGCAATTGCCCTATATTAATTTACTGAGGTCTTTCTGAAACAAGTCTTTGTTAAAGGGAAATACTCTGCTTAAAATCTTTTTTTTTTTTTTTTTGTTTCGTTGAAATGATGTTCCTTAACCGATCCCAGCTTCCAAACTAACTTCTTGTTCTTCCCTAGAGGTTGTGTGAGGGGTTAATTGGTGGGAGATGATAGATACTGGTTCATGTTTCTCTTCTGGGAAAAGAACCTGTCAAAATTCGTGAGCATAGAGATTTCCTTTTGTTCTCTTCCTCTCCACTTCATCCAAGGAGATGTAATAACATGGAATGGTGCTTCTGTTCTATAAACTCAAATTTAGTTTTAGGAAGTCTATGGCAACTAGCACAGTGGAGGAAAGAGGATATGGACATGTTCATGGTGGCTCTCACCCTAATGTGTTTTAACCTCCCTTTTACTGGCAATTAATGTGAAGTTTGGGTGATCCATTTTGACTTGTTTTCCTTATTTATCTAATTTTCTGCAAATTCGCCAGCAAAGTACACATCCTTTATTTGATCCTGCAGACAGTCTGATGGTGAACAGTGTATAAAGCAAGATGTATTTTTATATGAATTTGAAAACGCAATTTTAGACCGCAAATTCTAAGATATTTACCAATCTATAGTAAGAAATTACTGATTATTCATCGAGAACACTAGTCCAGCTATGATGTTTCCATAACTATTGAAAGAAACAACATAAATTTATGCATAATTACTTGAGATTAAGAAATGGATACTCCATAATATTTGGTGCAGTCAAATACAAAGTCATGTTTAAGTACAAAATTATGAAATCAACTAATTAAAAGATTATGCTCATTGGGAAGGTATATCTAAAGCAGTAAATGGCTTTTCAGGTGATTAAACATCTAAATGATACTTCACACCAAAGAAGAAAGGTTTATTGTGACTATATTCCTTAGCCTGAATAATATTCCTCCAACACAATAAACATAATTTAGTGAAACTAAAATAGAAGAGAGAGTGAAGTTCATTTTGTTCATGAAGCTCTGAATGGTTGGCCTGACTGCTTTCTTCAAGTTACCAGGGATATCACAGCAACAGCAAGAAAGAGGTTAGGTGAGGAATGAAGTGAGGGCAGGTATGAAAATGGAATCACTATGAGAGGCTGGATTAAAGAAGTGAATCATTTTCACTCAAAATGATCTGTACAGAAAGGCAGTGATATAATTAGACATTTTAAAGCTAATAAGAATTTCAGGGTCATTTGTGAGTGGGAGAATGTTTGAATTTTATAAGCTAGCATTGGCTAAACCCTTCTCTGTACATAGTACAGCAATTATTCTCCCATAAGCCTTCACAAGATACAAATTGGATAGTGTACAAGTAATTACTGATGAATGTGAATATGCTGCTTGGTGATGAAATGTTTTCATAGAAACAGAATGAAATAAATGGAAAAGGCATTTTTAACTTTGAATAGATATATCCAAAGATAATGTGCACACTACAAAAGGTTTGAAAAGGGTGTTTCAGTAATGTAATCATAAAGGGTCATTTACAGTGGATTTTTCAAAAAGGTCTTTTTATTGTGACATGTAAGGGAATTGCATAGAACAAACATTAAACACATGTTACAGCTATTCACAGCAGTATGGATGCCAAATAAATACATTCTGTTCATTTTAAGACTGATTTTTTAAAATCCATGCAGTTAGAAATGTATAGTACCATTAATAAATACCTTATATCTAATGAAACTAAACACTGAATTTCTTTCAACACTTTTTTACAGTTATGCTTAATTTGATTACATGTTTTAAAAACACCTACACTCAAAAATTAATAGATAGTTTTAAAAATATTGCTATTTGGCCATATTTGATCCTGCATCCTTGCTTTACCATTGCTTCTTAATCCTTTGTGCATTCTCTTCTCACAGCCAGTTGAACCTGTAATTTCACAATTCTCATATGCTGTGGCTCCAAAGAGCACTGCCACACTCAGTGCAAGAAAAGGGTCCTGCATTTTGGAACCTTTCTGACAGAATGACAAGACATGTTCAAGAATTAAAATGAGTTTTCTGCATTCACCCAAACTCTTTGTACTCTTCAAAGAAATACAAAAAAAAAAAAAAAAAAAAATTTGTACTCTTCAAAAAAAAAAAAAAAAAAAAAAAAAAAATCAGTATCTAGAAGACTGAACATTTCCTACATTCAAGGTTTACATCACAAAATAATTATTTGATATACCTCTTTAGTAATGTATTCTATCAACTTCAGAAATATGTCCCAGCTCCAGCCACTCTCTTTATCAGAGCTTTGCTTATTACCTCAATGAGAGAACAATGTTACCAGTTGAAAAGGGATGGAACCTCCAGAAATATCACTAATACATGAAAACTCTTATCAGGGTAGCCCAGCAGGTAAAAGCTTGGTCTTTCCAATCAGACAAACCTACAATTCTTGACTCTACTCCTTTCAAGATGAATGACCTTTGGGAATTTAATCTTTCTTGGCCTGTGGGGGTTGTTGTGGGAATTAAATGAGATGTCAATAAATACTTAATCAGAATGCACAGCTACTCCCCTTAGCTTCCAGCTCCTCTCCTAGGAGCTGTGGAGATGCGAGGCTCACTATTAAAGAGTGGCTAATCAATTGTATGGCTGATTCACAAAGACCTTACTGTGTTGTCAGGTATGTTTTGTGCAATTTGGTTTTAATGATGTATCAAAGCTTGTAAGTGATTTTATTTTTAATAAATTGGAGCAGGCTCAAGTATAGATGTATGAAAGTCACTTTCAAAATGCTAATTCATGAATGAAAGGGGTTGAGTTACAGCTACTGCACTGGGAGCTGCACACAATCCTGTTCCTCCAAGGGCAGGCCTCTCGCAACAGACAAAAATATCTCATTTTGTGTATTGGATTCAAAAGATCAAAAAATTATCCAAAAGACTGTTCTTAAACTTCTGAGTTTTTAATTATGGAAAAATGAGAATATTTCAGCAGAGGAAATGGAGAAAATTCAACAGTAGGCTTAAGAACAATTATTTGGAGGTCCAGAAGTAAATTAACTCAGTTGCCTTTTTATGGTTTTTACCTGAATCTATATTTGGTAATATTTGGGGGCACAGGAGGAAGTTTAAGGAAATTGAATATACGAGGTTATATTGTGCCCTAATGAAGTAGCATATGTTCATTCAACAAATATTAAGTTCCTTTTATGTGCCAGGCAATTTCTATTCTAGATGCTAGTGTGTAGAGCATAAGCAAAACAGACAAATCTCTCTGCTCTTGGAGCCTGTATTTGGGGGTGTGTGTATACATATGAGATACAAGAGATAGCATTTGAAATGACTGAGAAAAGATAAACTATTCAACAAATGACACCAGAAAAAAACTGCATAGCAAATTAGAACAGAATAAATTTGAATTGAAACCTTGTATCTTACAAACACAAACATCAAGCAAATATACACGTATGAATCCAGATGGAGCAAAGATGTAAGCGTATAAAATGGAACCAGGCTAGAATAAATTCTGGAAAAAATTTTTAATGATTTTAGAACAAGAAAGTCTTCTGTACATATGAAATAGTATGTAGAACTCATAAAGCTAAAGATTATTTACATAAAATTCTTTTTAAAAACCTTTGCATTGGAAAACTTGTGAAAAGGTAAATCAATTGTCTAGTTTTCTTAATACATAAAATTCACTTAATAGGAATAAGATCAACCACTCAGAGAAAAATAGCACAAGCACCAGATTCTATGTAGTTTATTGATACATGGGAAAAGTTATCAGAATTGTTGGAGTACAAACGATCAATAAAAAATCACTGAAAATATTTCTTTATATTTGGATTTTGATTATCTTATGTTGCCTTTATTCTTTAATAAAAAGACTTAATAGGAAATATTGACTAAATAGCATTGAGGATTTTGTACTCTGAATAAATCAAATAATTTTTTGATTTGGTATTCAGTTAAAATAATGTGCCAATTAAACATAGAATAAATATCTAATATGGCTTTATTTTTCAATGATTGCATTTTTAAGGAAAATTTTTTATATCCACAAACGAATTATATAGCTAAACAATTATAAGGAAAATCTTCATTGTTGGAACACCTTCATGTTAACACCTTCATAGATTGTAACCATAGCACCTATTCATTTTTCTTTATATTAAAACACCAAGATTACATGAAGCATTTTTAAGTGGTCTCCTGTCTCCTAATGACACACAAAAGGAATATTTCATGTGGTTGTATCACATTTCAAATAATTAGGATGGCTAGAGTATCTTGTTACAAATACTAAATGGCATTAGTGATTAATATTTCATTTTTCTATTGTGCATTTTATTTAATTAACTTTAAAAACTCGAGTGAGAATTTCAGTTGTCATCAATTTCCTATTTTTTGCATAAATGTCTTTATAATTTAAAATTTAAAGTTAAACTTAAAAAAAAATTAGTCTTTATAACTTTATGAAGACTCCGAAGTTCCTTAACCAAAAAGTTTGTAATTGAAACATATGCTAAGAAGTACCTCAAATATCAAGGATACAGGTAGTTCTTATTAAAAAATATTTTTAAAAAACTTCAAGTAAGATTTTGAGACTTTAAGCAAAATTTGAAAGAAAAAATATGGACTGCAATATTTCAAAAGTGAAAGCCCAAAGACTTACCAAAATCTATAGATCTTTGTCCTGCATTTTATTATCTTTTTCATACTGGTCTACATAAACAACTTTTAGCTCATATTCTGCAATTCTATAAGCCTCAGGGAATATTCAGGATTCTCCCTATTGCAAGTAACAAAAGCCCAATTCAAACTATCTTAAGAAAATAAAGGAATTCAATTAGCTTAATGGCTTCAGAAAGGGTTAGATCCAGGAGCTAATAAGACAATATTAATTTAGCTCTATTTATATGATAATTTGGCAGACATTTTCTATATTCTGGCCTCCAGCAGCTCCACATTCTACTCTACCAGCTTTCAGCTTTCAGGCAAGGAATAAGAAATAACATTTTGGGGAATGAGTATTGGCACTAGTCCATTCCAGTTTAATTCATGATATCTCAGGCATGAGTTACATGCTGATGACCTTCAAAGCCAAACTGAACCTTGTCCATTACAATAGGGGAAGGAGTGGCTTCTCATGAGTAATTTGAGCTACCTTCAGAAGAAAAATGAATGTGGTACTAGAAAAATTTCCCCTTTATATAATTCCCATAAAATATTGATTCATGCTTTCTATTGTTTCATATTTATATTTCCTCCTAAAACTGTTATTCTTTCTTGGGTTATTGGGAAAGATGCTTAATTGTTCTTTTTTGACTTGCTTTTTCAGTCTTGCTTTCTCTTACGTACAGTTTCCTCGGTATGCCAAGAGTGACCAACTTGAAGCATAGAGCTAACCAGGTCACCATTCAAACTCAGATGTCCATCCTTAGTCTCAAATCTTTGATACGTTCATTCTCATTACTCTAATACTCAATTTTATAAGGTAATGTTTCCTCATAAGGACAAATATAAAAGATTAAGTTAATTGTGATATTATCTTCTCTAAAACCAATTGATAAGGGTTAGGCTTTGTGTCCCCACCCAAATCTCATCTTGAATTGTAATCCCCCAATCTCCACATATCAATGGAGAGACCAGGTGAAGGTAATTGAATCACAGGGAGGTTTCCCCTTGCTGTTCTCATGATACAAGTGAGTTCTCCCAAGATCTGATGGTTTTACAAGGAGCTCTTCCCCCTTTGCTTGACACTTTCCTTCCTGTTGCCTTGTGAAGATGCCTTGCTTCCCATTTGCCTTCTGTCATGATAGTAAGTTTCCTGAGGCCTCCCCAGCCATGATGAATTGTGAGTTTATTAAACTTCTTTTCTTTATAAATTACCCAGTTTCAAATAGTTCTTCATAGCAGTATGAAAATGGACTAATTTAATACAAGTCTGAATGGGGCTGAATTGTTTTTTCCTCCTGATAAAGTTCTTCCAGTACAGCTGAGTTGAATATTTGTACAAACATTAATTCACAGGTATATTAGAATAAGATACTTTATAGGACTCATAATAAACCAACTTCTCCAAAGGGCAGCCTTGAATACTGATTTTTTTTCTTTTTTGCCTGTAGTGTACAAGAAGTTTGAAGTTTTTTGTTACAAATGAGATTAAACTATTATATTATTATAATTTTCTGAATGTGCCACCATATTTTCATGCAAAAAAATCTGTGCTACTCTTAATAAGGTTGGCTTATGGCCTTGAGAACATTTTTTTCACAAAATAAAACTATTATACTCCATTGGGCAATTTTGAATTTTTTTACATACTTAAAGAATTATAATCATGCTTTTCTTTTTCACCTTGAAACACAAAGGCAGCAACTATACTTGTAATAGATTCATTTAAAAACTGAACTTGATGAATGTCTAGTGATGTTGGGCAATATTACTGTTTTTTTTTAACTAAGATGGTTCAATGGATACCTGACCTGTCAGCACATACCAAGGAGATAAAATATACATAAAATGATAGTCAATTAGATTATTCAGTGACACATTACCACATAACAGTTTATTTAAATTTTACTTTTAAAGTAAATATGAAATATCCATAATACCTGGCAAACTTTGAATTGGGTGTAATAGCATACATAACAAAAAAGTCTTAGGGAACTTATAACACAAATTCTTTAGTGCATTCACCTCTTAGATATATTGATAATCAATAATTATTGGGTTTCCATCTTGATTTTTTTTGCATCTTTATTAGCATGCAGTTTGCAGTAATAATTAACATGAGCTTTGAAATAGCTGGTTTCAAACACTGCCATAAGTTTCATGCTCTGAAGATTAACATTTCTGTGCCTCAATTTTTACATTGGTAGAATAGAAATAACAAGACCTAATCTATAGGGTTATCAACAAGTTTATGTGGCATAATAGGAAAGTATTTAGACAGAATTGCACACACAGTATACACTCTATACAGACTAAATGCCGTTTTATTTATGCAGCTCACCTGATATGGGAAGAGAGTTCTTAGACTCCAGAGAACAATATCAACCAGATCTAGTAAATAAAGGCAGAGATAGTCTCCATTTAAGCTAGTACGTTGTGTCAGACTTAATATTCAAAACAGCAAGATGCATTGAGAAATAGAATGAGTGTTGGTTATCTAAGGGATAACACATTGAAATGTTGTGAATTTATAGAACACCTTTGATACATATATTTTAATATATTCTTCCACTGTGTTCTGGATCTCCACTGCAGCTCTCAGAAGAGGGGTAAAGGGATTGACCTTAGGAAGTCTGACAAGTCCTCTCACGCAGCAAGAGTTAGAGTGTGAGGACGTGTGCAGCTGTGTGTAACCCTCAGGTTTAGTGATGGGAAATTGGTGAAGTTTTATCTGTTGGCTCAGTTCAGTGGTAAACTCAAGTTTGGGCTATGTCTTCCATATTATTCTCCTTTCCCAACAATGAGTTATTTAATTCTGAACTTGGAACATTCAACAAATAACCTGTGATTTTCTGAAATTTTCATGACTCTAGGTCATAGAATGAGAAACCAATAACTAAAAATTAATGAGACATTTTTGTAGTTCATACATATCTTCCACTCTGATGGAGCTTCCAAAAAAGAACAGAATATACTTCTCTAACTCATTAAGAAATATTCAGCTTAATTTGGGGAAAAACCCTTACCATTAAATTTACTTTTTGGTAGACATCAGCAACAAATATTCTTGTTTTTAAAGTGGGAAGATCTATGTAGCACTGACTCATAAATTAGAATAACATTTGAAAGTTACTTGAATTCACTATTCATTTGAATGAATTCTTGATTTTTATTCTCTATCTTTAAATGTCCACATCATCTTTGAAGTATTTTGTTCAGTCTGGAGAGGTACAAAAGCTTTTGAAATAAAACAAAAGTAGGTTGGCAGATTTCACAAGAATATTTACTGTAAAAAGATATATTTTCAGAAACTAGCAGCTTTATAATATCAGATTAAAATAAAACAATTGTGTCAGGTAGAATTTGTCATCTCTTAAAAGTTCTGTTTCTTATTAGACTCATTTTCCCTTCTATTTCTTCTTTTTACTTCAGTTCATCGAGGGGCATTTGCATTCTTTATGAAGTCATGACACATCAGATAATCTTTCTACAAGAGCCCATGGTGCATGCTGTCAATGTAAATTTGAGGGTGTAAACAAAGAAGTTTAAAATTTTCAGAAAGCAACATGACTCTCTGCTCCTCATCAGCCTAGCCAACAGGAAGGTGATGAGATAAGAATGTGACCCAGATAAAAGCCAGAGAGGGTAGAAATAAAGTCATCTGGATATTCCAAACGTGTCTTTTTGTGAGGTTAAGGATAGTGGAGAGTTTGCATGCTGTTGCTGTGATTCCCATGAGAAAGGGATTTCGGTGATTCAGGGAGCATAGGAGAAAGCACTACTGACAGCTAAGGAAGTATTGCACTGCTGGTCCGAGACCTCAGACCAAACGTGCCCAGATGATTTTACGTCTCAAGCTCACTGAGCCTAGGTTGGCTTATCTTTACATTGGTGTTATCTACCTGTGACAGATGGTATTTTTCAAAAAGGTCCACAACAATATTTCTGGCTCCCGCACGCTCTTCTGAAATTGTGCCTCTGATAAAGAGGTCATTAATCTACCCTCCTCTTGAATCTAGACAAGAGTTTCTGACAGCCTTTACACTTTAGGTAATACTACATGATTTTAAGGTTAGGTCATAAAAGGTGATACAGCTTTCACCTGGCTCTCTTGGGGATGTGAATGTTTGACTCCCTGAGGCACCATACAAGTCTAGTTCCTCGAGTTTGGCATGAAAGAGAAACGATGTAGAGAGACCACCAGGAACTGCTTGCATCTTCCCAAAGCACCAGGTGTGAGAATGCAAAAATCTCCAGAATACCATCTTTTTTTTTTAATTGCCTTTTAGGTTTTGGGGTACATGCAAAGAACATGCAAGATTGTCGCATAGGTACACACATGGCAGTGTGATTTGCTGCCTTCCTCCCCATCACCTATATCTGGCATTTCTCCCATGCTATCTCTCCCCCAACTCCCTACCCCCTACTGTCCCTCCCCTATTTCCCCCCAACAGACCCCAGCGTGTGATGCTCCCCTACCTGTGTCCATGTGTTCTCACTGTTCAACACCTGCCTATGAGTGAGACCAAGCAGTGTTTGATTTTCTGTTCTTGTGTCAGTTTGCTGAGAATGATGGTTTCCAGTTTCATTCATGTCCCTACAAAGGACACAAACTCATCGTTTTTGACAGCTGCATAATATTCCACGGTGGATATGTACCATATTTTCCCTGTCCAGGCTATCATAGATGGGCATTTGGGTTGGTTCCAGGTCTTTGCTATTATAAACAGTGCTGCAATGAACATTTGTGTGCATGTGTTCTTATAGTAGAACGATTTGTAATCCTATGGATATATACCCAGTAATGCCTGTCCCACCTGGCTTCCCCTGCTGATGTCTGGTGTTTTTCTGTCCTTTCCTTTGATTAAAGGCAGGAAACAAGGATGTCAAGTCCCCATTCCTTCCCTACTCTGACAGCAGGATTGAATGTTGTGTATTGTGGTTTTTTATTTTGTTTGTTCATTTTGTTCTGAAATTAAAGTATGCAAAATAAAGAATATGCCATTTTTATACAAAAAAAATATTTTTTGGGGGGGTCAAATGGAATTTCTGTTTCTAGGCCCTTGAGGAATCGCCACTCTGTCTTCCACAATGGTTGAACTAATTTACATTCCTACCAACAGTGTAAAAGTGTTCCTGTTTCTC